CTTAATTTTGGCTCAGGTCATGATCTCACGATTCATGAGATCAAGCCCTGTGTTGGGCTCTGCACTGACAGCTCAGAACCTTCTTGGGATTCTCTCTTTCTCTTCTGCTCACACACACGAGTGCACTCTCTCTCAAAATAAATAAATTAACTTAAAATTGTGGCCAGGCCAGAGGACCCCGCAATGCATGCATACCCATAAGCATCCTTCCAGCCTGTCTCCATCCCACATACTCACTCCCTGGCATCCGAGACAGACTGGGCGTCACTCTCCAGCTCTTCCATGTGGCCCAGGAGTTGTTGGAGGAAATGCTCACTGGATGACTCCCCCTGCAAAGCCAGGTGCACGGCCAGGGCCTGCAGGATGGCGCCATTGTAACCCAGGGAGGAGGCGTGTGTCAGTTGGGCTGAGAGCCGGGCAAACTAGGGCAGAGGCAGCAGAGGCAAAAGACTTGCTGTCACAGAACCCAACCTGCAGAGAAGAGGGAGGGAGGGGAAAGCCCAGCAACCAGCCCACCTGGATTACCTTCTGCACGTCCTGGACACTGCTATAGGCCAGCGAGATGCCGGCCACCCGCATGGCACCCCCATTGCCATAGGAGCCTTTCCCATTAAACTGGGCCCGGGCAGGCTCAAAGACATCACGGCACTTGGGGCTCAGGAGCTTCTTGAAGACAGTGACTACTCCAGCACCATAACCCCGATCAGGGTCTTTCTTGTACTCCTGAGCAAATCTAGGGGAGAGAACGGAGACAGGATTAGGGTTGAAAAGATGCCTGTCAGGGCTGGGAGAGAACGCTGGCTGCTGGGAAAAGAAGATGGCTTAGGGACCAAAGGAGCCTGTCCCAGCAGGGCTGTCACCTCTGGCTTGGGAAGCCACAGCATTACTGTGTCCCGCTGAGGGTGGGGGTCCCAGCATGCACCGATATCATCACTCTGGCCAAGAAGCGCAGTTATTGGCCAAGAAGCGCAGTTATTCTGCCCACCTGCTTTGCCTCACCCCAGGCCCATCCCCCTCACCTGTGAGCCATGTCCACCTCGTCGAAGGCCTCCTTGGCCAGCAGGGACTGCACCAGGGCCCTGGCCATGGCTGTGTCGTCTGTGTAGTACAATGCTTCTGCAGGGACAGGGTGGGAGTGGGGGTGAGATCACACTGCAGGGCTTGAAGGTGGTGGCTTTGGCCTCCTGCCCCCCTCCTTTATTTAAAAAAAAAATTTTTTTTTAATGTTTGTTTATTTTTGAGACAGAGAGAGACAGAGCGTGAGCATAGTAGAGGCAGAGAGAGAGGGAGACACAGAATCTGAAACAGGCTCCAGGCTCTGAGCTGTCAGCACAGAGCCCGATGTGGGGTCGAACCCATGAACTGTGAGATCATGACGTGAGCTGAAGTCTGACACTTAACTGAGCCACCCAGGCGCCATTGTTTTTTTAAAGTAACCTCTACATCCAATGTGGGGCTGAAACTCATGACCCTAAGATCAAGAGTCACATGCTCTACTGATTGAGCCAGGCGCCCCTGACCTCCCACTTTTATTTGCCAGTTCTAGAATGCCTTAAGTCAGTCTCTCACTCCCAGCCAGTTTCCTGGGCTACAGGCCTTGGGATTTTTAGCAATTCTTTATTCTGAGTCAGTTATGACCTGCTGACTTCCGAAGGAAAATCTGTTCCCTTCTGCCTGCCCTGACTGTAGCTCTCCTGCACCACCACCCCCACCCTCCAACCCAGCGTATATGTGCAGCAGAAAATTCTTCCTAAAAGCAGACTATCACTTTCCTCAACTCACTCTCCTGCTCCTAACGGCTGTCTGTTGCTTTCAGGATCAGGCCAAATTCACTGCCCTGGCATCTGAAGCCCTTCGTTGTAGGCCCCTTCCCTCGTCTCTCTTACATCCCACTGCTCCCTGAAACTTGGAGCCTGGGTCGACCCTCCCTCCACCTGCCCCACTTCTCCTTCTTGGTGCCCGGGAATACGGTTCTGGCACTTCTGACTCAGCAACACTGGTTATATGATGTCTCAAGTGGGCTGTGAGCCAGCAAGACTGGGACTTGGTTTTACTACAGGAGGAGAGGGCTACAGAGAAGGAAGCATTCTCCCTGTGAGCCCCCAGCCCCACTCCACTCTGTGTATTGCAAGCCCCCCCACCCCTTTCTCCCTTTCACTCTTAAGGAGGCTCCCATCCTGGCTTCACAAGGAAGAGGAGTCAACAGCCCTCTTAGCCACAGCCACACTCTTTTGTTACCCCTTGACCAAGTGAGTCCCTCTTCTAGTCCATCCAGCCCAGCCCCTTAGGGGACGTGTTCTTCCTCTTCTCTCCTGTCCCCTCAACCCCTCCCTGTGTGGTAGAGCAACAGCCATTCTCCCTTTGTGTGGTTCCTGCGCCCAGCCTGTCCCCAGGGAGCCACTTCTCTACCATCTTCAGCCCATGTGGTTAGGGCATAAGGTTCACATCACCAACAGCCTCCTCAAATAGCACACCCTACTACTCCTTTGTTCAGGGATGGATAGATGGCCAAGCCAGGCCGAGGAGACGCAATCTGGGATTTCTGCTGGGGCTGCTGCAGACAGACTTCCTCTGCTGGAACTGCTGAGGTCACCCCACGGGGAGGGTCTGCCAGAGCGAGTGAAGCCAACCCGGAAGAATGTGGATCTGAATAAGGAGAGGAGCTGGGTCTTGATGTGACTTGAGCCCCTGGATTTCAGCGCCGCACGAAACCAGACCTACCTCTGGACTTCTCAGTTATGTCACCCAATGAATTCTCTTTCTGCTTAGGTCGTCCTGAGTTTTCTGCTACTTGTATCCAAAAGGTCCTAAAACACCTGCTAACCTAAAATGTTGTCCCTTCATCTTAACATCAAACCAAAGATGAAATCAGAAACCATCTCTCCATCTTATCTTTGCCTCAACCATGGCTCCTGGCTCTCTTTCCCATCATACTAAACCATACCCTTTTTCCTCTTTCTACTTCCTCCTAAATCCATTGAAATCTAACTTCCAGGTTTCAACATTCTACTGAAAATGCTTTTTTCTTTTTAACGTTTATTTTTTATTTTTCAGTGAGAGAGGGAAAGAGAACAAGCAGGGGTGGGGCAGAGAAAGAGGGAGACAGAATTCAAAGCAGGCTCCAGAATCTGAGCTGTCTGCACAGAGCCCCATGTGGGCCTCAAATCCACAAACCCCGAAATCAGATGCTTAACTGACTGATCCACCCAGGCTCCCCATCGACTGAAAATGCTTTTCGCAACCAGACTTGAACCTCTCTGTAGCATGACACCACTGACTAGTGTCCTCATTTTGAAATTCTCTTGGGTAGTGTCGATACCCATGCCCCCCTGCCTCATTTCCTATCAAACCATTTCGTTCTCTAGCTCCTTTTGCTCCTTCAGCGTTCTGAGTATGGCCCCTTTTTCTTACTGTTCTACATGCTCTCCAAGAATCATCCTCCGCTTGACCTCAGACATGATGCTGGTCAGAAATCTGGATGAGGGAGGACCTGGCTGCACAAGGAGAGCAGTGGAGGGGAGACAGGCTTTATACATACAGCACTGCAAAAGCCTGGGCTAGAACGAGCTGGGGTGAGAGGAGACGAGTGCAGAAGGCCAAGGGTGGTAGAAAGTGAAACTGGAGAGTCGGGGGAGGGCCGGCCAGGTAGGTCACGTTAAAGAGTTTGTTTCTATTCTGAGGGTAAGGGAAAATCACTGCAGTGCTTCCTGCGGTGGAGGCCCCCGTAACATCTGTTTCCGCGAAGGGTTCTCCCTGATGTGTGGAGAATGTGATTCGGGAGAACTGGGTAGAAGGAGCAAAAACGGCAGCGGCGTATACACTGGAGCAGGCGCAATGCAGAAGAATGACACCGGGGTTTCAGGATTGCGCGGCTGATTGGATGGTGTTGCCAGGCCGCGAGCTGGGGCGAGACGTGCGAAGCCGGGGCTCGAATTCCGACGCGCTGAGTCCGAGCTGCCTGCGGCTCATCCAGACCCGGCCCCCGCAGCCCCGGGCGGCCTTACCTCCTATGCCAGTCCCTCCCGCCCCGAGGCCCCCGCGGACCCCCGGCCTCCGCGTCCTCACGTGCACCCGGCCCCGCCCACCTGTCCGCGCGCTCCCCGGCGAGCCCGGGTCCGGCTCCAGGCTCTGGACGTGACGCAGGACTGACGTCAGGGTGACGGTATCGTGCGCCTCGTAGAAGGAGCCCACGCAGTCCCCGAGCAGCGCGCCGGCTAGGCAGCCTCGGAAGCGAGAGAGGGAGCGGGCCGCCCCAGCGCCCGCGCAGCCCGCCGCCGTCATCGCCGCCGCCGCCGCCACCGCCATCCGCGCGGAGCAGTCGCCACTTCCGGTACGGCCGGCGCGCGCCCCAGAGCAACGCTTCCCGCCAGCCCCACAGTGCCGCCCAGCGGCCCGGAGCCTCGGCGTCTCTCCGCGCCCACAGCGCCGCCCAGCGGCCCAGAGACGCAGCTCCGGCGTCCGGCATCACTGGTTTGGGCCTGGCC